AAAAGGGAGAGCGAATAAATGAGCAAATAGCGAGGCGATAAAGCGACTTTATTGGACATAATTTTACGCCGTACATTTTCCCCCCATACGGTCAGTTTCACCAACGATTGTCCTTCCGTTGGTTTAAGGAGATTGCATGCAAAATAATGTTTCGCGTCCACCTCCCGTTTTCCGTTTCGATGCGGTCCGGTATATTTACTCGAAGCCGCGTTTCCGGTATTTTTGCGATGCACGGGGAAAAAAAAGGGCCCAAAGACAAACACGCGTGTTGAGGAAACGAGTAGGTGGGTCGGAAATTTGGAGTGGAAAGAGGGAAAACTTCGATTAAATGGGATATTTGCGTTGGTCTCGCCAGAAGAAGCGCGCGTCCTTGCGCAGAGAGGGACATCACCGATTTTGGGAATTTTTATTCAAAACGCGTCGGGATCTAAGATATTCGTCAAAGAGGAACCAAAAAGACAAAGGCGTGTAAAGGGAGCGTCGAGACCACGGAACACCCTCACCAACCCGCGAAAACTCCGGCTTTGCGGTGTTACCTCAAGAAAGGCGCCGTCGTTAAAGCTCTCTCGTGATAAAGTTATCCCGGGACATCGATTAAAAATTTAATCTCGGCTGAAATTCCCCGCAGTGTGTTTTTAATCTCATTTCGCGGCCACGGTCGATCACCATCGGCCGCTGTTACCTCCGGCCATTACGGCCAACTACCGTTTTCCTCGCTTTTCTTGGGCATCGCGTTTAACGAGCCTCTCATGGATCGAGTGAACGGGGAGGAAGAAGTGTCGAGGGAAGCCGCGATTCCCACGCTTTTGCCGCCGTCGGATTCGACGAGTCTTATGTCCCTGGATGGGCTCTATTCGTCCAAGTAACGGGCCCCTCTAACGCGCGACATCGCGCTTCGAATTCAATTCCGTCGGTCATACGGGTGCGGTAGGGGAGACGGGATTAATTGGCCATTGGGTCAGGTCCGGCCGGTTCGGGGGAATCGGTGCTCGCGCTTAACGCGTCGGTTACCGTCTGGTCCGCCGGGTCGGTTCCCTCGTGCCGCCGAGGGTGGCCGGCCAGGCTCGTGCGCACGCGCACGCGCCCCGCGCCGCCCATGCCGCCCACGCCGCCCGCATCGCCTCGCCGCCCGGTGAAGCGCGTCAGTTCCTTCGCGGACGTCGCGCAGGCATCATCCGGGACTCTCTTGCCGGCCGCGACGACGGACTTTGACTCTTGCGGTGCGCGCCGCGTCGATCCGCGATCCAACCCATCCCATCGCCGAAAAGGATCGTTATAAAGTGGCATTTTTAATTCACGTTCGAAGCCTCTTAAGACTTAAAAACCTGAGCATTTGGTTTATCATTTTTCTCACTCCGAATTTCTGATAGGTGCGACTCACTTCGAACTCTGTATTCTCTGTATAAAACGGGTAGCAGTGATTTTTTATATTTTCTTTGTTTCTTAAGTTTTCTTTTTATTCTTCTCTTTTAATATTTCTTACGGCGCACGTGGAGGGTCTCAGCTGTAGCTCGGTTTCGCGGTCCGGACATTGAGTCGACTTCGACGGCGCCAATTAGCGGAGTTCGATTTCTCGATTCAATGTCCTCTCGGGATTCCCTTTTTTAATCAGCCAGGAATTCCCGCGAATGTTTACCGAGCGCTGTACGTAACGCGGGGAAGACGCGGTGGTGTCTCTTGTGGGGGGAAAACGCGAGTTCGAACGAGAGCAGTTCGAGGTCTCGATCCTCGCAGAATTGCGAGGGGCGATTTTCCCCGATGAAGGGAAACTCGCGATTGACCCATCGATCGATTTCCTGGCCTCAGTCGGCGTTCTACTCAAAGCGTTATTTCCTGAATATAATTACCGACGATTTTTAAAAAATTATGATATTTCCCCTCTAACCCCGTCGTCGATTATACCTGACTACTTACGAAAGGAGGAACCTAGTTTTCCCGGGAATAGCATTTTCTATCGCGTCTTCCTTTAATTAATTATCGGCCGGTTGGGGCGAACTGCAATTGCGCCTCGGCGATCGTAAAACGCGATCTTTACGTCGATACCCGGTTTACCCTGATTGACGGTGTCGGATAAAATTCCCCGGCGAATTACCGACTTCGCGTTGTACGGGCGAGACGCGTTGTCGAGTTTAACAAAGCGATTTAAACGAGCGCGGAAAGGTGGGAAGAACGTCCGGACATGATATTCGCGCGCGATTTCGTACGTAAATACGCATAATGTGCGCACGTCGGCCGTGTCTCCAATTTTCATGCATTTGTCCAGCTGGGACTTCCGCGGCCGGTGATTTCCCTCGCGGAGCCGATTTTCCCCGGGATAGGATTCACCGGCACCCCGGTGGAAATTTCAACCGATCACCCGGAGGCGGATCGACCGCGGACGCGAGGAGATGGCTCGGGGATCGCCAGGCAACGACTGAACTCGACTCGCTCGAGGGATGGAGGCGAGGGCGACGAGCTCGCGCTCGCGGCTCTTGGCTTGGCTGCTCCTCGCGCAGTTTCTCCTGCAGCTCGGCGCGTTCGCGTATCTCTACGCCTACGTCAGGAGCGTCGAGGTTGAGCTTCGCGCCCTCGGGAGCAATGCCTGCGATGGACGCGCCTCCCCTCCCTCCTCTGTCTCCAAGCACGCCGAGCCGGCTCGCCGGAAGCGCAGCAGCTCGCTTCCCGTCACGGAGGACAACGCGGTCTCCGAGGTCTTCAGGGTAAGCATGATGACCGAGGGGTTAGTCGCTTAGAAAATCGTGGATTGTAATCGTGGATTTTAATCGTGGATTTTAATCGTGGATTTTAATCGTGGATTTTAATCGTGGATTTTAATCGTGGATTTTAATCGTGGATTTTAATCGTGGATTGTAATCGTGGATTTTAATCGTGAATTTTAATACTCGATGATCAAGGGATTGGTCACTTAGGAAATCGTGAATTTTAATCGTGGATTTAAATCGTGAATTTTAATACTCGATGATAAAGGGATTGCTCACTTAGGAAATCGTGGATTTTAAATTTTAATGAAATGTCACAATTTTAAGACCGTCACTTGTTAACGAATCATCTTGCTGTTTGTGATATGAAATCAAAGTAGGGGGAATCGTTTTCACTGACTTCCGGGCCCCTCGATGATGACCTTCTTGCTTCTATCATGATCTTTCGGGGTTTTCATCGTCGTTTGGTCGGAAATATATAATTGGTCGCAAAGAAGATTTGAACAAACAAAATATAAAGTCAATCAACCCTAAAAGATTTTTGGATATCACTAGACAAGTCTGCTGAAATCCATTAGTGTTTTTTTTTGGGTAAATCTTTTTTTTAAGGATATTTTAGTCGTGGGTCGAATTACTTCGATAGTTTGGTTGCCTGCACAATAGCCGTGTTTTGGGTTTGAATCGATAAACATTTTTTCGATTGAAATATTTGTCTGCTAGTGAGAACGCTTCTATATTTATTTTCCTCGTTTCGCGGTGAAAATTTTTTTCTGGGGTTTTGAAGCACGGGGAATTCATCCGAAGCAATTCCAGTCCATTTGGGTAATTACTTGACCATGTTCCTCTTTCGTATTTATTTCTACGGTGTAAGTCATCACCGGAGCTATTAACGTAATGCACCGTGTAGTTGGTTTCTGAGTATAACGCCGTTGAAAGATTGATAATTTTATATTATTTTTATCCCGGGTGTGGGGAACGGAAATCAGATCGAGAATTTGTGGGACTACCTAATTTTATCCTGGCTCCTTCGAACAGGCATCGCGAAGGCTTTCTCGCGGAGGAGCTTTTTCGAAAGCTCGCGGGCTGTTCCGATACGTTCCAAAGTTGGCCAAGAAAATATTCCAGAGTTCGAGGGGGACTTTAGCTCGACACCTTTCCCCGCAAATTCGGCGAGATCGGCTTCGGGCTGTTATTAAAGTTCCGGGAGCTGTTTACCGCGGAAGTTTTGCGAGACCTTTTAAGGGGTTGTCCGAGCCTCTCGTACTCGGAGCTTCTTGGCTCGTTATTGTCCGCAAACGCGTTAATGTCTTCGAAGGGGTATATCGAGTATCGGGAATCTTTCAGAAGATCTTCATTGCCTCGCTTCCGGAGTCTTCTACAAGGGGCCGAATTCATTTCTTGGCCGAAAATTCGGGTTAACAAAATCCCTGGGGATGTTTACGAGGCTTCTACCACTGCCACGTGAAATACCCAAAATTGTATTTATTGCCTGTTTATGCGATTTTACGTTCACCGTATATCCCTCCTGTACGGAACTCGGCGTAACGGCTCGAAGCTTTTCGGAAATTGGAGAGGATCCTCGGAGGTTGTAAAATGTTTTACGGCAGATGGGGAATATGCGCGGAGCTTCTCGAGGAATCTGCCTCCTTTTCTTTTCTGCTTCTTCCTAAATCTTCAATTTCTTGATCTGGGTACCTTTCAAGTCCGACGATTCGAAAAAAGGACTTTTATCGGGCAGCGATCGCCCCTGGAATCGCACGGGGCCGGAAGTTTTTTATTTCGGAGGGCTCTATGCATTTTTATCGACGTTCTCGCTGGTAGGAGGGATTTTGTGGGTCCTCGATGTTATCCTTCCTCGCGATATTGGCCATTTTGAGAGTTCCAAGTACGATCTCAGTATTTCTTTTTTCTTTTTTCATTTTCTTTTATGCGCGGCTCTCCTGCTCGCTTGCTCGTCCTGTCGGTTTAATTAACGAAACGCCGGATATCAGAAACCGACTCGACGGCAGGTAATCGTCTACAACGCTCCGAATTTCATTTATATGCGGCATCAATCGACGGGATCGACCAATTTTGAGGAGGAATAAAAGTAAAACCTCCACGTGGGATGAAAATGCGCAACGGGAGCCTCTCCGAGGAACTTTTCAATCCGAAGTGTTGCGCCAAGTTTTACGGGCATCCACTTGGCTGGCGGCAATCGAAACTTCAATGACCTGTAGCATTTGTTCGTTTTATTGCTTGGTTTTTCGAGGCAATGCGTATGATTCAAGGTTTTATGTCGGGGGCCACTCGAAATCTCACATGGTTTCTGGCCCAGTAGACGCCACCTTCTATATTACCCCTACCTACCTACCTCTTTCTACCTACTTCACGAATTCATTAATCTCATGAAAGCGAAAGTAAATTGTTCATAATAAATTATCAGGATTACCTGCGTCGAAAATAATAATCGCTCTGTGATTTTCGAGCATGAATTAACTCGAACGAGTGGGAATAATAATGGTCGAGAAATCATTGTTTTTCATCGAGCCATGGTCAGAAACGACCCTTAAATTAAAAATATTCCTCAGTTTATATAATCGGCGGATAATTGCTAGTCCGTATATTACAGAAGAATTATTCATGCTCTCGTGTATTAGTGCACTTAGTCCAGGACTCAGAATGGTGGAATTATCGACGATTTGGCGGCTACTTCCGGGGATAAAATGTACTTGCGGAGGAAGTTTACCCGGCGGCAAACTCTTTAGAATAATGGGAAGTCGATGCACTCCCTCGCGATTTATGCGTACTTATTGTTAGAGATTTTTGCAATTGATATAAGAGGCGCTTCCCACCGCGCGTGTCTCGGGATTTCGAGGATTTCTTTCCCCCCTTCGAATAATTATCCGAGGAATATGGCGCCGGTTCCCGGGGAATTACGTATTCACGGAATTCCCTCCGTGACATGAATTAATTTCTCACATAGACCGACGTTAAATGTTAGCTGCGATAAATCTTCCCTTTTACGGGATTACGGGGGACGCTGCGGCATCACGCTTGGCCATGTGGAAAAGGGGTTGCCTTTCTTCTTGCGGTTTTGGTCCGAGCCATAATTATTTCCGAGTTACCGAAGGCGAGAATCGCATCCGTAGTAAAAATCGTGCCACTCGGTACTTCCGCCACGGCAGTGAGAATACCCTCGGATCCCCTAAGTACTTCCAGGAGAGGGTTCGAAAGAGAGGAACGTAGAATCGAATTTCTCTTTCAGATACGAGAGAAGGAGCTGCCAAAGGAGTCGAAGAGGGCGAACGTTTCGACACTCGGAGTGGCCGGAAGTGGAAGTTTGACGTCCCCAACCGGGGAGCAAGGTGGAGTGTATCTTACTGCTGACACCAGAATTTCGGTCAGTATCTTGCGCCATTTACATCTGAAACGGATCCCTGCTTTTATCGCGCTTAAAATAGAAAATAGCATATCTTTTAATCGAGGAAAAAATTCCCGTTTATCTAGCCATTGTCCCTACACGGGGTGCAGGGCGCCAATCTATTTCAAGTCTTAAAGCAGCTACACGTGGAATGATAAATCGTTAAATCTCGGTCTTACACTGGTCCCGGGACGGAGAAACAGGCGATGGGATTCTACTCGTCACTTTTCCATTGACTCGAGCGTTGACTCTTCCGAATGGTCACTTTTTACCCGGCGGAGGCGCCGAGGCGTACCTGGGCAAGTGTAAAGAGGATTAAGGGGCACTCTTATAGGACCGAAACCGTGGCGAGAATGCCACGGTCCAGATTTCTCGAGTAAATGAGAGCAACGCGGAGGAGAGGGTTCCTCGGGGGATGGAACTCTCTCCCATCGAGGTGGAGCGCAGCTCCGAGATGTCGGAGGGTTGTGACGCTACCCCCTTTAAACACTCCAAGACTCCCGGATAAATGTCCGTTTAAAGGTGGATTCAGAGAATTTACGGGAGGATTTTTTTCTCAGTTACTTAAGCACGGGTGTAATCGTTGGTGCCGAACGACTCGAATTCTTCGATCCTCGATTCCTCATCCTTGGGACGTTAAGTCGCTTTGGTTCCGACAAGAGACGTGGAACGTGACTTCTCCCTTCCGGGCGTTTTCCCTCCAGCTCCTCCGTCTCCATTTCGCACGATTCCTTCGAAAACGCCGCGATATGAAAATGAGGTGACTTTTTCTTAGGGTACTTGGACGGGGAGGGAGGGACGACTTGGACTTCTACGAACTTCCAGAGTCCTGGCACACTCGGAGCGACTTGATTGTACTTTCAAATCGATCGGCAGGTTGTTCGCGAGTTTTGTTTAAATTATGCGAACGGGGGGCGAATTGTGTCACCCGGGTCTTCGAGGGGGCAGAAAAAGGGGTCGGCGGTTCTGTCAGGCAGAATTCCTTGACACGCAATATTTTTCCTGGATTTTTACAACTATCAAGATATTCCTGGACGTTGGATGTCTTTTCCGGCGACGATTGTCGGGGGAACCCGAAAGGGATCGCATTTGCAGATGCAATCCTCCATTGTTATCTCCTCTACGCGTTAGCCCTGAAGCGTCAACCATGGGACGCGACGATGCACTCTCGGGTATTGTAAGTTTTCACGCGTCAAGCTCTGAAAAGGCACGTCGAGCAATTGCTACGACGTAGAGGAATAGCGAGGAACCGCCAAGTGGACCGACGAGGCGTGTCCGACTATAACGCGTTTTCCTTCGAAAGGAACGCTGAACGCGAGCGACGTAAACGCCATCCGGAGATGTCGAGTTCCTCTCGGAGTGGGTGAAATAATTCAGTCATTTAGGGGTCTGAAGGAAGAAATCCGTAAAAAAACTAAACGACGAGTCGTTTCATCGTGTCTGCCCCGTGACGCGGTAATTGGCTTTCGCATAAAAAGGTTAAAATTAGGTTAGGATCGGGGCCGCACGTGGAATACATTAGAGCGCGGTAAACGAAAGCAGTTACATCGGTATTCCGCGCAGGGGGGCGGTCGTTTTAATTTAATTACTTATTTAATTTAATTCCGTTTTAATTGGATCGTCGGTCACTGGAGGATCGTTGATTCCGCGAGCGAACATTCGAACCGAAAAAACGGATCATTGCTTCCCGCAAGAGGAGAGGGGATCGTCCATGATTTTCCGGGGGCTCGATTATTAAATTGTCCTCGTTGCATCCCCCGAATGCATTTGATAATGACGCTCTGTGCTATCTTTGTCTGGAATTTTACATCGGGACTTAACGGGGCGAAATGCAACCCGGTTGGCCGTTTATCGCGCGATGCCCGATTACGACTGCTGGGTTCCTTTGTTGCTCTTGAAATTGTGACCATTTCGTCGACGGATCATTTTCCGCCAAGGTTTAAAACCGCCCAGTACGCGCGGTTATCGCGGTGCGGGAAAACTGGCGGACAAGCCGGGATATGCGGCAGAGGTGGAGGAACCGAGGGAGAGGGAGGACTCGAGGGCGAAACTCAGCCGGAAAAGCAGGCGATGACACAGGGTGCATTCATATATTCGTATTCCGTGAACGTTCGCCGCTTCGTTTACGAGTTACGTCGGTGCGGCGTAAAATGTTTCGGCGTGCCGCCCACGAGACGCGGCTACGGAAAGAATGCCTCCTGCTTTTTAAGTCAGACCATACGCCAAAGACCATACAGAGAGTGTGTATTTTCTATTTTTGGAGAGAAGAGAACGATGTTCAAGAACCAATGGGTATCTATCATATACGAAGGTGGAACTTTCGGGTTGCCTAATGAGCTGCAGGGAGTTATCAAAAAAATTTAATAACTGAAAGGAGGGACCTCGTGGACCGGACGAGATGCAGGGAATTCGACCTCGGTTTCTGACATTTTTCCCGCTGCTGGTGATTTGTACTAATTTCCATGGGGAAGGGAATTGGCGTCGTCGTTGCAGGGAGAACTGTGGGATGGCCTCGTCGGGGACACGTCGCGGATGATAAATACCCGCCCGAGGCTTGGTGGATGCACGCAACGGAAGCGGCCCTCGGGGACAAAGAATCCGAAGAAACGCGCGGAACGTTGCGATGCATATCTTGAAAGAGCGGAAGTGGCACACGGTGAGGAATCGTCGTGGCAAAATGTCGCGGCAAAAGCGGCTCCTCCGTCGGACAAGAATACATCAAGTGGCGCTCTCGACTCCCTTCCGTCTCTCTCTCTTGGATTGTACGCGGATGTTACTTTCCTCGGCGTCAATCCCGCGCCCTGCAGTTGAACGGTTAAACGAGTTTCTCTTTCAGCTAATACTGCAGCTACTTCTTGGCTCCCGAGGTGCGTTCGAGGTGCGAGGTCCCGAAAAGTGGATTTGTGCCCTTGATGGTTCTCGCACGGAGCGATAATGGACTTAGAGTAGATCTGAGATGGGTTTTAGATTGAACCTTAAAGGATTCGCAAGCCTACGGGCTTGAAATCGATGATGGGCTAGTGGATTTACCGCCGAAAATAAATTCGGTTTCCCGCACCAAAGTGCAAAGTTAAGGCGAGGTGTGACCGATCGGTTTTACTAGCTTTAAAGCGTTTCACTCGCCGTACGGTTGGCACGGGACTTGGCAGTTTCGCCGAGTTTGCGAAGAAAAAAATAAAAGAAAATAGTGGAGGAGCACGTTACGTCGATGCCGAAATTGAATGAGATTCTCCTCATGCGTCCTGCTTTCCTGGGACTTTGCATTCGCGTTTGTTCAACCGAATTACTAAGTGACTCGAAATTAGACCCTCTTTGGCTTTGCTACTTTTCAGCCTGAAAGTCCGTAAAAAGGAGCTAACGCGATTACGCTCACAGGGTCGCGTAAAACGAATTTGTTCTTCCTACTTTACGCGGCCGAAAGTTTTACCTGCTTCTATCGCGTTATTTCCCTTTTTTCTCTTTTTTCTTCTTCTTCTGGATGGACCGCAGCTTGACTTCTACTTGGTCCGACGTGACTCGGTTGGGTTTGAAATAGTCGCGTTAAATAAGCGCCGGCAACCGGAGGTCTTTTTTTTAACCTGAGAAATAATTAGTCATGGGCGAGATTCTTTTTTTAAACGCATTTGGATTCATCGAATGTTCTACCTTGAATGAATTTCTGACGGCGAACCTACGGGCTATATTAGACACTCTAATGTATTCCGAAGACAGCATCGCGCTTCAGAATTCATACCTTCGAATGGAGGTGCATGCACGGTCTCATTTCGGAGTTTGAAGAACGTACCTTAAACCGGGTCAAGTTCCATGTTTGCCGGAAGATGTTACGGAGGAGTCTGGACCTCCGAAATTCGTGGTTAAGCACCGTTTTTCGGTATGAACTCGATGGGAAAAAAATCTCAAGTCCATTCTAAAGGCTCAGTTTCGCCATAGCGCTTACGCAGGAAGCGTCGTACTATCTGCATCGCATTTCCACTGAAATTGAAATTGATTTCCTAACCGGACAGATGGACGGGGTACCATTGGCCAATATAATGGTCCTTGATGGTCGCCACTTGACGGTGCCGTAAGTGTCGACTGTACATAACCCGTCCTCTGAATGGGCTCAAGTACTTTTCCACTTTGCCGGTTATACCGCTCGACGTGGTCTGCTCGTACCGTTAAAATGCAATTATTACCTAGGTACCGAAGGAAACCCGTTAAAGTATTAACTTTAACCTTAATTCCGTTTCCCTAGGAATTATCGCGAGTAATATCATAGTTCCGGATCCTGATCAACCGTAGAGCGAAATCTTAAGTACTCGCGTGGACGCGTTAACGAATTATCGATTAACGTCCGTATTAAATGTATTCACTTAAATTGGAGGGCTCGAGAAAATTTCAATGCACTATATTCCAGCGAATTCATCGTTTAAACGGTGAATAAAATCGAAGTTTGTATAGATTCGACCATGCGTTGGAGAAATTTCGACGTAAGATCGCCGTAAGAGTGTTTTGAAAACCGCAAAGTTGGCTCTCGGAGTGGAAGAATGGCGGGAACGAAGGAAAAGTTGACGCCTTCGAGTCTCTCCAAGGATTTACATTATTCCTTGATTCCCACCACCGGTACGACCCTTTCGATCGTAAATAACCCAACATTACCTTTGAAGCTTCGCGGTTCGTATTCCGCGGGGAACTCGCAAGCGGAAGTAAATTCGAGCGACACTCGACGGAGCGGAAGGGAAAAAAGGTGGAAGGTTCGAAAGAGTTCAACCCTTTGCGGTCCTATGTCGAGGCTGACAATTACAAGGCGATAAAGGGTTAATTTTCGAAGCGAGGACCAAGAGGTCCTGGGGGTGAGTCCGGAGTCCCACTGAGCGCGTCGAGGACCGCGGCGCGCCCACGCGTCAAGGGTAAAAAACTAGTCACCGACTTAACCCTTAACCCTTTCGCTTTATTTTAATACACGTTTTATTTTAATACACAGTGTAACGTACAATAGACGTTCACCTTCAAACTACACCTCGACAATTTTTTGTCAGTGCGTATTCTCTTTTATACCTTACCATGTATTTGTAATAATTTTCTGGCGCTATAGGGGGTTATTCCAAAAAGAATGTTATAGAGAAATTTTTAAATCACATATAGTTGTGAGTTGCGACGAAAGGGTTGAATCCTCGCGTCACTTTTATTGTTTTTTATTCGTTTTTATTTGTTTTTTGCCTCTGACGCGCCGATGCACGGCGCCTTGTGAGACGTCCGACCTGCGGAGCGGTTCGGCGCGGTGTCTTTAATGTTGGGTTGTCTGTTTCAGTTCGATGCCATTGAGAAGTTTTGCCTGTCTGCCGGGACGCTTTGCCCACCGGGCCTGCCAGGAGGCGACGGCCCGACCGGCCCCGTCGGCCCCGTCGGACCCGTCGGTCCTGTCGGTCCTCGCGGCGATCGAGGACTACCCGGATCGCCAGGAGTCCAAGGACCCGAAGGTCCTCGCGGCTTACCGGGATTGCCGGGCGAGAGAGGAGAGAAGGGCGAGCCGGGGCTGGACGGCCGGGACGGGATTCCGGGGGAACCGGGATTGGACGGGGTTCCCGGGCGCAGCGGCTCGGACGGTCTCCCCGGGAGAGACGGGATTCCTGGCTTCAACGGCACACCCGGCAGTCCTGGGCGCAACGGGACCGATGGTAAGATCTTTTCTCTCTCTCCATTTTCCCTTCGACGGCGGAAATGACTTAAACACCTCGAATCGAGCAGGAAGGCTATAGCCACGTCGCGAGACGATATCTTGAGGGATACTTTTCTTTTTCTTCCGAGTGTTTTAATATACCTGCGCGATTTTTGTTTTAAGGCTTTTGACGGGTCTTTCGGGATTTAGTCGCGAATACATCCGAGCAAAATGATCAGGACGCGATTTTGGGGGTATAGGGTTATAACGTGTCTTTCGTAATTTGCTCGCGAACACATCCGTGAGAAAATGATCAGGACGCGATTTTGGAGGATAGGGACTGGATAGGGTTTTAGGACGCACCAGGTCGGACCGTCTCCTAGGAAGAAACGGGATTCTGGTCCGAACGTACCCCGGCGGTCCCGGGCGCAACGAGACCGACGGTAAGACCCTCTCTCTGCGACTCCCCTCCGGGCCCGGAGCCCGACGGCAGGAATTACTTAAACATCTCGAATCGAATCGGAAGCCGATAGCCGTGTCAGGTAACGATACCCCGGGGGGCTATTTACTCGATCTCGAGTCAGCTCTCCTCTTCCACGTCGACCGTTCTTTCCTTCTGTCCGAGTCTTTTAATATACTCCTCTCTGGACTCGACTCGCATGGTTCGAAAGCTTCGACGTGTCTTTCGAGCTTTATTTCGAATATTACACCTCGTATCACGGAATAAGTAACAACCTCCTGTTTTAATACATAACTACGGCCATTTATTAATTAAAGATTTAATCGAATCATTTATTGATAAAAAAAAAAAAAATAGGCTCGGTCGAGTTGCGTCGGCTAGATGCGTTTATGGGGCACGGTTCAAGACCATCCTTTAAGATTTTTGGTTGCATGGGGTTATTTTGCAGTCAAAATCGTTCACTAATGAGATCGTCTTGCTAAAATTCGAGTTGGGATGCGTACGCGGCTTAAGACGCAATCGCAGGTGTCCTCGACACTTGGCGCCGCTTGATAACGAGATGCACCAGGGTTGTTCTCGTTTCGTCGAAGCATGCTCTGCGTCGTGAATTTCGACACTCTCGTAGATGCAGGAAAACGTAAGGCCGGGTTTACCGAAGCCGCGCTTAGACGAGTCAACCGTTGGTCCAGCCAGACGTGGACGTTAGCCGAAACTTCTCTACTTAACCGGAGTTGGGAGCTGCACGACCGGCTGGCCTGTCCATGGCACGTGACGTATGTCCCCCGTGACCCGCGTAAACTCATGGGGTAATTCAAATTAGGCGTATAGGAATGCTCGATGGACCTTCCTGTCGGCGATTTCATTACTGGACCACCGATGAGGTGGATCACGGCAATCCGGCGACTCCTTCCAAGCCTCGAGGCCCAAGGAATCGATATCCTTCCTGTTTCTCAGGATCTCAATCGGTTATCCCGATCTCTAATCAAACTCCTCTAACGCTATCAGGCAATTTCCCAGGTCGTGGCTCGTCGAAAAAGGGCGGTTCCGTGAAAAATGTCTTGATCGTTGTAGCAACCTTTAAGTCGATTTATCGACGCGCTCGTGCGAGGAATGCTGCAGCGTGAATCATGGGGTATCGTGCGGTCTACCGAGGTTCATACATCATACATGATATACTTCGCCTTTAAACGGTCGAATCCACGCATCGTATTTTTTCGGAGAGCGATCTATCGACGCGCTTTCGAGAGTCCGCCATAAACCGGGACGCTCTTCCGCGGTCGAGAGATATCCTTTTTCCTGGATTTATCCAGAAGAGTCGTTCAAGGGTTCCCATGGGATGGAATTTCATAGTACATTTTCAACGATTTGGAAAGCTTTCGGCACATTCTGGGGAATCTCGGTGGGAAAAAAAAAAATATATCCCAGCACTTCGGTGTATATATACGGGGGAAGTATGTCGTCGGTGCAACGGGTGTACGAAATGTCGCTCGGATCCGTGACAATGTGCCGTAAAGCTCGGAGTTGAATTTTTTATCGGCCCGTAAAATTGGGCGAAATCGGATCGTTGACGTCCGCTCGTTCGAAACGCGACGCGAAATGGATTATGCCTCGTCGTGTTTGCGGAGAGATGTCTCGCGTCTTTCGCGGTGTTCCGGAAGGGTGGCGGTTTCGTGATTAAGCGAGGTATACGAGAAATATCGATGACTAGGGGTGCGGTAAATACAGCCGGTGTACACGGCACGCGTTGCTCCAGTTGGCCGCAACTTATTGGAAAGTTGTCTACGTGTAATCGATGTAAATGAATCGTCACGGTTACGTGTAGTTTGTTAGGGGAGTTTGCGGAGGGTGGTTTCGACAAAAGACCCCTTTATGGATATTTCTGGCCGCTTGGGGTCTCTATGGGTTATCTGGTTTGTTCTTGGCACGAGATTAAACTTCTCATGTCGAAGCGATATCGACGATTCTCGGTATTACGTAAAAGTTGAATTTTTCAAAGTTACTCGAGATATCGGGTTCGATGCGAGGTTGCGGATTTTATCGCCCCAGTTTTTATCCCTTTTACTTTATATCGAACAATCTAATATCACGGTGTCAAAGACCGGGGGCTTTCGTTTACACGGTCTAGACTTTATGGCCGATTCGAGGGGCGAACGTAACGAGTCTCTGTACTCGGGGAAATAACTCGGCTCGCTGGAGATGCTGCCGAGACTCGTATGCACAGTGCACACATTTACCCTAGACACGTGTTTTTCGCCTAATGATGCAAGAAGAAGGTCCCCCGAGTGACGCTTTACCCGCTAATTGCAATCCGTTTTGGGACTCCGGGCCAGGTTTACGTAGGTACGCGCACCGAGACCTAAGAACTACGACCTTGTATGTTTCTTCCCTTTTTCCTTTATCCTGCGTCTTATCAAGGCCTCGGATTTTTGAAAAGGTCCCAAGTTTCTCGCGGTTCTTGCTATTGATCACTCCGCATTCGAAGTCCTTTCATAAAGTAAACTTTACGGTGCTTTGCCGGGATTACTCCGGTAAGTCAATTTACAGCGAGCCTAAAGCTCGGCTTAGCGGCAGAAAGTTAATAAAGTGGGGGGCTGTATTTTGCACGAGGTGCACCCTTGGACCTACTTTAATTAGATTGTCCTTTGGTGCAGGCTAGGAAACGGTTTCAAGCAAAAAGGGTTATTTTAAAGTTCGAGCACTCTTCGAGGAATCGTTCGGACCTATATCCGTGACAAAACGCGTTCTTTCCTCGGTTTAAAAATATTCCCTGTTTCTCCCATTCCCTCAACCCTTTGTTCTAGTGATTTTTTTAATCGAGCACCAAGATGAGGATACCGTGGTAAATAAAAGTCCTTTTTATTCGCGAATTTTCGGGCCTACCTGCTTTTCTTCTGCGTGGATCTCGTTAGTGATAATGAAACGTATTTTTATGGATACGTTTTTCTAGAGGTATTTGTAAATGTACTTCCACTTGTGCAAAAATAATGACTTCGCTCGAGGAGGATTTTTTGGGATTTAAGGACAATGCCACCGGGTCGCTTTTTTTCTTTTTTTTTTCAAATCTTGAGAATTAGTGCAATTTGAAAGGAGGGATTTCTAAGTGATCGAAATTCTCATCCCTTGTTCTGCGAAAAGAGGGAGGAATAAAATTGGATATTTTGAAATATTTTCTCCATACTTCTGACGGCGAAAAGAGGGAGGAATAAAATTGGCAATTTTGAAATATTTTATCCATACTTCTGACGGCGGATTATATCGACCCTCTGAAGTTTTCTGTATTTCTGCCATCCCGATTTGTCATCGTGCATAGGGATCGATCATTGAAACGTCACGGATTTGCTTACGCGTATGAAAGGGCGCGGAACTGGCGCAGTATTGCCAGTTTGCAAATTCGACGGACGTTCGCATTTTTTCCGAACGGCTGATGTTTTCGATATTGGCGTCACGGCGAGAGGTCTAGCGAATTTTAAATTGAAGCGTTGCAGCGAAATTATCTCTTCATAAAATTCTGTTACACGATATACCCCGGAAAAGTGAAACGGAGACAGAGTGGATGCATTTTCGAAATATTTAACTTTCGCAGCGGCACCCACCGGTTTGAAAAATCCCGCGAAACGCGTATATCCGCTCACTATCAAAAGAGTTAAAAGAAAAAACCGAAACGTCGCTGCGTAATCACGATAATTATAGGAAACATGAAATTAATCGATCAGATGTCGACTTTTGGTAAGGTCTCGGAGGAATCGGCACCGAAAGTCGCGACCTGGCGCCTGACAAAAAAGCTTTACAGGGTCGAAGCTTTTATCGAGACTTATCGGCACTCTATCGATGACAAGTTTAATCAGGAAGAGTGAGGAATGTCAGAGAGGATGGCGATTTACTCTCAGCGGAGTACAGTCTCTCTATTTCTCCGGATATTAATGTCACTCGATGGAAATGGTGCATCTCGTCGAGAGCCTCCGGAGCGTGTATTGTCTTACCCATACTCGGTGATTTGCATATCATGCCGAAGGTTTACGCGAGTTCATATATCGAGCCATATAGAGGGAAACGTTTGACGTTTAAGTTTATCCTGGATCGATCGATTATAAATATTTCATTTCATTTTAGGAAGTCCTGGAACGCCAGGACCACCTGGACCCATGGGACCTCCAGGACCAACAGGTGAGGACGCGATATGAACGTCAACGTAAAAGAACATAAGGCGTATCATAAGATGTGGCGATGCGTGAAGTAAAGAGATGCAGCACCTGGGACCCAATTCTCGAGTTTATGCGAAAATTTTTTTTTCGCCTACGAATATATTACCATGAAAAATTTTGCATTGCTGCGAAGTCGTGTAATTGGTCAACGGTTGAAAGTCCCTATATGAAATTTCGCATGCGAGAGTTGATCGTATGAACTCGAGAATCGAGTCCGTGACCTTAGAGGTGCGTGAGCTTGCTCGAGACGCAACCGCGTCTCTTGATTTAAGCATGGAGGTGCGACCCGGAGAGCATTTTCACCCAGCGGATCTCTTTTCGACGTGGAAATCGAATCACGCCGACGACTCGCGATGCATTAATCGAGGCGGCACGTCCTCCGATTCACTTTTCCCGAGCGAGAGAGAGACGGAAGCAGTTAATCCCCCTAGTAGCTCCTAGTTAGACTGCAAACGAAGTCCTCTCGTTGTCCGGGGGACGATTACCAGACGAGAAGATAGCTTCCGTACTTGATTAAACGTGAGATGATTGGGAGGTAATGACCACTTAGCTACTTCATTACGTCATTTCTTTGGTCAGGAACGCTCGAGAGGAAATTTGCGGAGCGAGTAATCGGTTCGACCAAAGGGACGCTCAGGATTAGCCGGCGACGAGACGGGCGTCCTCGAGATCCCTAGGGAAGGATCCTTTCCCGATGACGGGACTATTTTAAATAGAAGAAGAAAAATATTAGAGGTCCCGGTGATGGCACGAGATGTGATTTCATCGATTTTTCATTTAACGGGGGATCACAAGGGTGGAATCCGGGAAAGTTAATAATTATTATTCTCGGATTCTAGGGAGTCCTGGACCAAGGGGGCGACTCGGGAACCGGGGGCAGGATGGCACACCTGGAACTCCTGGGATACTCGCTTGGAATTATAAATACAAGTCCAATGAATCCGGAAGTCAGCTAGAGAGCGAAACTTTGCTCGTACCACCTTCCATACTAGGTAAGAACGGGTTATGACTGTGATATCAAGGTCGATTTTTTATTCGGACTCAAATGTTGGAGAAACGTCTGCTGGGTAAATTTGTGGCGACGTCATCCGGAATTAGAAGTCTTTGGATGATAACCTACGGTTAAGGTAGCGTAATTTCGAAGCACAAGGCTCGAGATTGCAACGCGAGGGAGACCGGAAAAGATGGCGTCGTTATCTAAACTTTCCGCGTAGTTGGTTCTTCCACGGAAATTAAACCCGTATAACTGCAATCGCGTTTCGGGACGAATGAAATGTGCGCGTTTTCATTTCACGCTTCACTCCGGAAGACGTATCGTACGAACGTTCCTGTAGGAGCTTCTTGTGGGTTCGGGAAAATGGTCTCGGATGAAAATCCAGAGTTCGCGGGAACGTTCGCCTTCCTCTTCGTCCCTTTTCTAAGAATTTAAGCTTGCATTCCTGGAATGAACTCACCGCACTCCGGGATCCTTTAAATCTAGGAATTCCGGGAAAATGTCGAATAGCGGAGGTGCTGGAGCTTTGTCAGCTGGCTTCTGGAGATCAACGTTAACTGGGAATTGAAAAACTGAGTAACCTCGCGTCGAGGAGGTCAAAGGTTGAAGGATGCCAAGTTCGAGATCGGCTCTTTTTTAATAAGGTTCCTTCTCTCCTTGATTTCGAGGGTTTCCAAGTCGTTCCTCTAACTCGTTTCGGCAATATTGTTGAACGGGAAATTAAAATCGAGTTCTCCTCGCGGAGGATAAACCGTGACCGATGGAAGTTTACTTAATCCTCGATTACCTTCGGCTTTGAGAATTGGACAAAGTGAGGGGGAAAATTGCAAAATAATCGCAAGGATGACAAGGATGGGGAGGAAAATCAAAATGGAGTGCTTATCGAAGGGTAATACCGTCTTGGATTAAATGGTACTGTCTAAAAGGACCCAGTCGTATTAAACGATCCTTTTTGGGATACAGACAGACACCGGAAGATTGTACTCGAACTTTAAATCCGCCTGATAAATTTTAATTAAATTCATTGTAATCTGGAAGGTAATTAAAAACATTATTAAGTCTTGGAACTTCTAATCCCCGGGACGGCAGTATTCGATTATTATTCTTCTTGATTATTTTTTACTTTTCAGGAGTCATTACGAGACCTTCGTGCCGGTGTAACTACCTAACTTTTTCAATGAACCTCGCTTTATGATTGTCAGGTAATCCCTACCGGGAAGTTTCTAAACGTATTATTCCGTCAGAAGTTTTCGATGTCCCAGGTATCCTTGTTAGTAATTTTCGTTTGCAAAATTCAACCGTGACGTTCCTTCGATCTAAAATTTTCGTGGGATTCTTTTATGTCGGTTTAGTCTCGATATTGCCGTACTATCAGAAATATGTTTCGGCCTCGACTCTGGTTCATTTTACAGTCGAGTTGCCTCCTCACGGTCTCTGTTATACTAGTTTAAAAGTGCCCAAGTTATCCCTCGGCTACGTTGAAACGGAGAATTCCATTCATGGGATATCTCAATTTCGAACGCCTTATACGTAATTGAATGCTCAGTATTGTCCGCAGAGGCTGTCCAATAAATTTAAACCCCTTTCAGACGGTACCTCCTCCAATCTTCCCGTCCTGTCCGCCAGATCCTGGAGCCGTAAATGTTATCCTTTTCTAAATGTATTTCCTCGTTCTTCCCCAACAACGTTAAACAGATATTCCACGAAACGACCTCAAAATTTAACCGCGACAACCTACTTCGATCGGTGCTCCAGATATACCACGTTGTAAAGTTTAATTTCCTAAAGTTAATCGGTCATTTTGTGCAGTTTAAGCCGGAAAAAAAGCCCACATTTGACCCTAGTTGAATTTCCGTGTCGCGCGGGGGAATGTTGATCTCATTAAGCCGGCTGGAGCAACCTGAAAAATTAAAGTCCTCACAATGGACCCGTGAAAAGCGGCTTTCATCGGAATATTCCAAGGATTTTCCTTGTACGGATGAAGAATGTCTCTTTACACGCACGACGGCAGATATTTCGGTGTCTTAAAGGACGATTTCGTCGACAGTTTTGATATATTTCGCGCGATCTCCCAGGAGAATTCGGACCAAATTCGCGGGACAAACTCATCGGAATATGAACCTTACGCATTGGTTCAGGTTGCGCTTACGGGCCTCGCATACAGTTCGTTCCGCCGTCGTTTTCATGCAAATCACCTCGGTCCGAGACAAAAGCCGCCGCGGATTTCCATGGGCCGGCCACATTTTCCATTTCGAGCAAGAGGATCGTCTCCTTCGAGCCGGATATGCAGAGATAAACGGACACTCCCGGGTTGAGCCGATGTAGCTCCGTTTCCTACGGAGACGATAATCCCCTTCGATCCTGCCGATCGGACGGAAAGGATATCCGTATACGTCGCTTCTTCGGATGTTACATCCCTCTGGAAATGAAAAAGAAACTGTCTGCCATTTGACTAGGGGAGAGGGCGAGATATTCGCTCGGCCTTATCGAGTCTCGCGGCGAATGTCCCTTTGTAGAACTACGTCAAACGGACCGAGTGCCTCACTCGAGAAATTCATCCGCTTTGCAATATTTTTCCTCGGTGCGCGCTTCGGTAAATCGGCCAATATACTCGGGCACTCGTTGTTCCTCTCTTCCGCGAAAATAAGACTCCCCCCTGTCCTTCTGGGAAGACATCCGTGGATTCATCTAATTCGGCGCTGACTCCAGATGAAAGATTAAACGCGGATTCTCCCCCAGGAAGCGGACAGCCGAGAGAACTGATCTCGGTCTCGGAAGGTGCGAACGTGCGTCTGAGTTGTTCCGCCAGTGGGAATCCTCGACCGGAGATCCAGTGGTCCAAAAGCGACGGCCTGGCGATTCCGATGGGCGCCTGGCACGGTAATGCCTCTTTAACGCGTTTAATTGAAAACTTGCCCGACTATGTCGAGAGTGCCGAAATCGGGGAGCAGAAACCGCCCTCGAAATTATACACTGCGAAATTCCCGGACATTCGGTCGTATGCGTGCAGCGTCCGTGCACTGATGGAAATTACGTCTTTATAGATTTTTATCAAGGTGGTCGTGTGTTTTAATATTAATGTTTATCTGTACTGGACGGGTGGGAATATAGTTCGAATAAATGCTTGAATCGCCTTTAGATCAGTCACGCTGAGCGCGTCGAGGGTCACACACAGCGCGGTGCGGTTTTCGTATCCAGGATGAAAAACCAATCGGAACTGCGGCGGAAGTGACGCATCCGGTTATGCGCGGATTTGATTGGTTTTCCATCCTCGACGCGCTGACGCGCCGCGCTCCGTGAGACACCCAGTGGGACCTCGGCCTTAACCGGTCGTGCGGTCCGCATCGTTCTTCCGCTGCGATTCAACGTGTAGCGTTTAATGGAGCGGCTCGACCGCGCTAATAGGACCGGGATCACCGATCCTTGTTGCATTCAACGATCCGTACATCTCGAGTGATTCGGCGCGTCTAATTGCTGGGAAAACTGACCGATCTCGTTACCCTCAAAGCGGGGCTCGACGATTCCGAAACCGAAGGAGGTCGTTAAACTCGGTCTATTATACAAATGGCCGTATAATTAATCGGCACTCTCGGCATAATTCACCAAGAAATGGGGATTATTCTAGATTTCGATGGGAGGGCTCCGCGATTAGAAGATTACTTCCACTCTGAGATAAGGAAGTCTCATTGAACCGAAGAAACATTTTGTTAATCCAAAAAATAATTATTTCAGCCAAACAAATTGTCATAATTCCGAGGAAATGTTGCGTTCAATTTATACAAGTTTATTTGAGTGAAACAATTATTCTTTGAATTTAGAAAATATTTCGTTCGTTCGATGACATTTTTTTCTCCGTGCACCCTCGAAGCGCACGTTCAATTCCTGATCGTTGTCCCCGATTTTTGATCTCTCCTTTTTTCTAAGTGTCATCTATCCTCGGCCATGCCTTGAACATCACCGTGGTGAACAGACAACACATGGGGGACTATATTTGCACCGCCAATAACGGCGTGCCGCCAAGTGCCAGACAGAAATTCAAGCTCGAGGTGCACTGTAAGTAGGGTCTTCTTTGTCGTTATTGCGAATTAATCGAAGCACATGCACGGATAACGCGAAAATCGATGATCGAACGAAGCCCGATAACGCTTTGCAGCGGATCGATGCACCTAGTTACGAGTTTCGTGGGTTTTACCGCCCATAATTTCCCTTTATATTCACGAGGAAATTCGCGCTATCCCGGGAAGGGGGGAGAATTTCTTCGGGAAGATTTGCATGAGACTGCATGAATCGAGATTACTGCAAATCGGCGCCGGTAATCGCGTCGGGGGAAGTTTCGAAACTCGGGGCTTCCTAGTGCACGCCGCCTTGCGCCCGGGCTAAATATGTATACGCTGCCTTTCTACAAGTGACACAATGGAGGGCGTGGAATTAATTGTTGTAGTTGCTCCATTTATCAAGATTCGAAGTCAGATGATTCACGTGAGAAATTTCGGCACCGCGCTACTCGAGTGCGAGGTCGAGGCCTTCCCAGAGCCGGCCACTTACTGGGAGCGCGGGGACGATCGTCGGGTCGAAAAATCGGAGAAACATCATATCTTCGTCGACGACCGACGAGATCGTTACAAGGTGAACCGAATTCTCGGACGTACCCGAAAGCGAGACCCGCGGTGAAAGGGTTGCACCTAATGCATGTCATTTACTCGATTTCCAGCGTAGGTAAAGTACCAGCCCGATTCCGGACGGAAGGCTCCGACGATCCATAACTCGAGGTTTACGTTGTTACAGTTAAAAATGATCCTGAACATCACCAGAGTGGAGGTGGCGGATCACGGGGTTTACCGCTGCGTCGCGAGGAACAACATCGCCACCACGAAGGGGGTCTTCGTGGTGAACGGGATCGGTTGGTCCACCTTTCAGATAATCGTTTACTTTACTCCCTTATTATTTAACGGAGAGAAATATGCAAATGGCGAGAATTTCCCCGGTTAAATCGTCCGATCGGGCCAATCGAAGGTTTTGACTTCGCATTTCAGGAAAGGCTCATGACAGGAAAGGAGACGCGATGGGTACCGCGCATCAGCAGTACATCGTCTTCGGAGAACGAGCTCCTCCCTTGGTGGACGTCGACGATTTGTGTCCTCCTCCCCCGAGGTGCAAGACCTGTCCCAGTGTTAAGTGTCCTTACCCGGACTATGGAGAGAGGTTCGATATTCAACCCCTGAAGGGAACCAACTATACCGGCTTGCCACCTCGCATGGCTGGTAGGAAAGACCTATCCATAGTTGCTATCAGTAGTCCGCATAAACCATCGCTTAAGGTGATATGAAAGGGTCATTATATGCACATAAAACGTCGAAATATATATCAAACAATTTTTTATGAAATTTCATGAGAACCACGTTCTTCTTTAGGGCTTCCGTAATCACGTGCTGAAGTTTGATTCGGTGCGTCTAATTTGGAGAAAAATTTTATAAACATTTTTTAAGACCTTTTATATATATATAGAATGAACTTTTCATATTACTTTAAGCGTTCCTTGATTCGAGTGTCGTGGTTACTCTTTACTACGAATACAGAGGGTGTCCTGGAGATCCTCGGGAAGCCCGTCTTCAAGGGGCGGATGGACGACATCTACGGGGCGTGGATGCACGACGCGGCTCCGCGTTCGGAATCCGCTGCGGAAAAGCTCTGGGTGACTCGCTCAGCCAACTCGTCCTACATCTTCGAGTACGACAGAAAGGAGGACTTCGACTCCGGGAGGTCGCGAAACGTGTCGCTGCCCTCGCCCTTTAAGGTTGGCACCTGTATCTTCGCTCGGGGAGTGTTACTTTCCGCACTCGGGAAGTTGCGCTCTCTTGAAGCTTTACGACTCCTTGACCTACGGCACTTGGAGCCCCATGCTTCGTTTAAACGAAACCAGATGGAGGCAACTTCACCCTTTGAAAAGGGCCCTCCTTTGTGGAAGTATGCCGCGTGAAATTGCGGGCTTCGCCGACTACTCTCTCCCGGTCATACTCGCGAAGGTGGCGCACCGATTGTACCGAGCTTTAAGCCCCCTGAGGAGTTTTCCCCCGTCTAGAATTTTTCCCCCGGCAGGAACCAAGATGTCGAGGTCGAGCGAGCCACTGGTCGAATCGAACGAATTTCCATGCCCCGAGTTTCCCCGTAATCTTCGCCATGGTCGCGGTATTAACTCGCGATTCTAATTACTGCCCACGCGGAATAGGTTAATCCGCCGGAATGAAGTTCCGTGGCTTGAGTTTCTTTTTATTTCTAGAGGTTAGAGTGCGAGGGGGAAATGCGATATGAATGGCGGCTTAATGCCCGTGCCTATTCGCGGTCTCGGGCGAAATTAACTTAACATATTTAAATTGGCTCCGGAGGATAAGAGGGGGGATTCTGGGGCAGTATAATATTTCTCTTCCCCTGGTGTTATTTAGTTCCGAGGTGAGAGCTGAATGGGGCACGCGCTATATCCGTTCGCAATAAAGCTGCATTCATGGGGTAAATGAATTTTCTCCGGCAGATACGGACGGATTTTTTATTTCGACGATCAAAGTACTTCTCCAGGGGCGCCGAGAAAATGGACCCGTTTGGATTTCAGGGAAACGGCCACGTCGTTTACAACGGCTTCTTCTTTTACAATCCGGTGAACCGACCCTCCATATTTCGATTCGACCTCCAATTCCAAGGGATCGGCAACTTTATGGCCAACCGGAAGGAACTCGTGCTTCCTGGCTTGGTGATCAATTCCAGCAGCTATCTGTACACGCCTGATCACAATTACAAATTCGTCGACTTCGACGTCGATGAGAACGGTGAGTTCGCTTCCTGCTTGGAAGTGAAAATCACTTCCCTACCCTGTTAAAAAAAAATAAGAAACTTATGGTTTTATAATATCTTTGTTGGAGGTATTATTCAGACACGGTGTACTAATTGTATAAAATATTTGCAGGAAATTCATAAAATGTTTTATAAATTTAGTACATCGGTGTATATTTAACTTCAGAAAATTATAATGTGTTATAAAATTATAAGTATCTTTTGAAATCCGTGATAAGTATATACTTCACTCTTAGGACATTCAATTTATTATTCTGCTACAAGTTTATATATTAAAAGTGCATGGTTTTTATGGAAATCTTTAAGTATGTGAGAGTGCTCTGAAGACGTCATTTTTAATCCGGGCTATCTTTTACTCTAGGTCGATTTTTGGAGGCGATTAAATCGAACGCCATGTGGAGTTTCGTATTAAAGTCATGCTATCTTGTAGCGGTAACGATAAATGTTTTTCTCGTCGGATTTCCCTAGTAGACCACATCGATTAGCTTGGCCTAGTTCGTTAGGACTGCACGTGAAACTGCGTGTACGCCGGACAAGTACGTGTAAAACACGTCGCTCGGTTAACTCACGGTGCGCGGAAAGAGTTATCGGTATAACGTTCAACGGGTACACGGAAGTGCATTGACAGAGGTGGTATCAGTGCACGTGCCACGTGAAAAGTCAAGTATTATCACTAGTTACCTATCGTGCCCTGCACAACGCGGTTTCATGAGAGCGATCTTTCACCGAAGGAAAAATTGAATCGTACCAGTGAACACCACGGGGCGTTCCGAGGGGATTTGAAATCCGCGATTGAAAAAGTATATTCCACTGAAATGTAGATTCACCAAGGAACAGCGATGCCTTTTCACTCGGAATGCCTATATTGTCATTCCTGGGATCTACCTTTTTTTTTTTGCGAGGGGATTTTTAATTCTGAAGGAAGAATTCAAGCGGGGCTTGCTGCGCGAATTTTGTTCAACACGCGAGTTAATTTTCGGGCATCGTGTACGCTTTTGACTTTTCATGGTTACAGGCTTGTGGGTGATTTACGGTTTACCGTCAAACAATACGGTCGTGATGAAGGTGGACGTCAGTACCATGACGCCGCAATACGCCTGGAATATCAGCGTCGATCATCATACGGTTGGGGAGATGTTCATCGCTTGTGGAGTGCTGTACGCCGTTCGGAATGTTACCGAGGACAACATCAAAATAAGGTCGGATGTTTTGCCGATGATTTATCGATGGATTGGGAAAAGCATGCCACGGGATATTTTCCAACCATTTTCTAGCTTTGTTCAGTTATTTTGTGATCTCTCTGAAGAGGCTGCAAGATGGGGAACACGAGGAAAGAGATTTCCGTGAGAAATGTCACGAAAACGCCCGATGGTTGAAAATGGCGGATGTTCATTTCTGGGTTTTCTGTTTTCAGATTCGCCCTCGACTTGTACAAAAACACGTTTCTCGACGTTCGCCTGTCGTTCACGAACCCATATAAGAAGATCACGATGATTGGTTACAATCCCAGAGTAAAGGTAAGCGATCCCGACGAAAAGCCATTAACGCACTCTTGTAGGTTTTCCATCAAACATCGATCGGCTTCCCATTTTGTGTCGAAACGAGATTAACGCGACGATGTTTCGGGCTCTCGTTCTCTCCGGCTTTTTTTTTCTCCATTAAACGCTTCTCGGTTGGTCATTAACACTTTCACAGTATTTATAACGAGTCATCCCGACGGAGCAGTGATTAGCACTTTGGTTTGGCAATCGGTTTCATGCTCGGGAGCCATTATCTATGGTAATTCGGTTGCACCGACATTGCGTTAAGTGGTGATGCAATCCATTAATGTCAATTCCGAGATGTAATTAAATATTCGACGTACGTCTCTCCCTTGGCGTGCGTATGTGGCGCATCGACTGCATATTCCTATGCCAATTACAGGAACTTTACACCTGGGATAAGGGAAGTCAGCTGGCATATCCGGTGAGATATCAGGGGACCGGTTACAACGTAACCAGAGAAAATGTTAAGGACGACGGTATGGCCGAGGTTGTCACCGATTACGGCTTATACAACAATCGATCGCGATATCACCTGACTTAAAGCGAAGATTCGCCGCGACGTAAACGCGTCGTTGAATTTTTTTCTCGATGATGTAAGAAAGAGTCGGCCCGGTCGTTTTCCGTCGTAGAAAATCGGGGACAACTCTGCGTGTACACCTGGAAGTATCAAAGCTCGGACAGCTCGAAATGGTCGACAATTAGTTAATGGTCGAGAATTATTTAGAGGAGCTTTGAGAACTGCGGCGAGGAGACTTGGACTTTTGAGTATTTGTTGCTACACGGCCAACTTAATTGGGGCTTATGTCATTTCCTTGCGTCTATACAGGTGTACGCGTAAGGTTTACGAGGTTGGACATTTTTCTTTCTACTTCCTAAGTACTCGGCGAGAGAGAAAAATCGAAGACCTCCGCAAGACTCAAGAAGTACTTGAATTATTTTTTTTTACCTAGTAAGACTCCTCGCAAGGGTCGGACGTATTGATAAATGCCGTTTCTTATTCAAATCCCGAGAGCGTAATGGACTTGGGAAGCGCAACATTGGATTTTCTTGCCCGATTCCGCGCAGAGACGGCGTAAGATAATTTCGGCATAAAACCATTAGGTGCTCCTAACCGAGGCCCTAACTCGAGTATCCAACTCGGAGGGTCTAAACTCCGTTTCGCGAGTCTCCGTTGGGCGAAACCGAGCAACCATGTTTTGTTCTCCAGTCTTACGTGCAGAGTTGCATTTTGGTCTTGTAATCGGGTCAAGGGGATCCGCAAGTACGGAAGAGAGTCGACAATTATTCCGACGTTCGGGCGATTTCGCGCAATGTCGACGTTTTCCGACGAAAGTACACGATCAATGGGATGAAAACGCGCAAATGGGCAAATTTAAACATACATGCGAGCATGTTTCGTTCTCCAGTCTTACGTGCTGCGTTGCGTTTTGGTCCTGCAATCGGGTCAAGGGGATCCGCAAGTACGAAAGAGAATCCACAATTATTCCCAGGTTCGGGCGATTACGCGCAATGTCGACGTTTCCCGGCGAAAGTACACTACCAATGGGATGGAAACGCGCAAGTGGGCAAATTGAAACTTGGGCGAAATTGTGCATCCATGTTTCGTTCTCCAGTCTTGATGTGTTGCGTTTCGGGTCAAGGGGATTCGCAAGTACGGAAGAGAATCGACAATTATTCCCACGTTCGGGCGATTACGCGCAATGTCGACGTTTCCCGGCGAAAGTACACTACTAATGGAATGGAAACGCGCAAGTGGGCAGATTGAAACTTGCGCGAAATCGAGCAACCATGTTTTGTTCTCCAGTCTTACTTGACGAGTTGTGTTTCGGGTCAAGGGGATCCGCAAGTACGGAAGAGAGTCGGCAATTATTCCCACGTTCGGGCGATTACGCGCAATGTCGACGTTTCCCGGTGGAAGTACACCGTCGACCAGAGACCGATGGGATGAAAACGAGCAAGTGGGCAAATTTAAACTGAATTATTCGAATCGATGGCGCGTCAACCACTGTGGGAACAACGGTTGAAATGAATTCGTACTCCACAGCCGCCTCAATTACTCGTTTAATTAACCGAGGAGAAGATGGATGTTCATTGGGTCGGTCAGTTCCGTTTATACCCGCCAATTTGTTTAAACGTTAATATAGCCGTTGATGGTCAGAAATGGCTCTCACGGTCGATGATTTTCGGCCAATCTGCGAAACGCGAGTTCCATCTGATGAGACTCTTGCTACGTCTGCATTGAGTTAGAAATCCGTGGGCCTCGATCCAAAGGGAATCCTTGAAATATTTTTCCCAGGCCTCGGCATTTCCATTTCTGCGATAACGCGGCGAAACTATGGAGCGAGCCCAAAACGATTCTACGACGCGTTTTGCTCGAGATTTTCGCGAGTGGAATCGTTTTTCCGCGGATTTTTCTCGGCGCCGACTCTTTCACCCTATGGGATATTTTGTACCACAGAAAAAAGTGTTATTTTACTAAAATCTTGTATATACGATACTGCATGATATAGTTGTCTTAGATCTGTAAAAATGCGGCGTGGCCGCCGGTCGTAGGAAATCATTTTGGAATTTTATTCTTCCATACATCGTAACATCCGACGTTTTATTTCCCGTCATGATATACGAGCGTCCCGTCTTTGAAGGTACTTTTGGAAAATACGCAAGGGAGCGCACTGTATTTACTGGTAAACGTTGTCCTGTCCTTTTGAATACCGAATAAACCACTCTCTTGTATATAACCATGGCGTGTATGAAGCTTTATGATCCCACCTTCGAACAAAGAGAATTAATCTGATTTGATTGGGTGCGATTTACTGAGATCAAGATCATGAAATCCTTACGTGGGCGATGTAGTGTGCGAAATAATTTACAATTAAATCGTCTCTTCGATGTGTTCAATTTATTTCCGATTTTCTATTCAATGGCCGAAGCGTTTCGAGGGCGTGTCTACGATGTATAGTCTATCTCAAGGAACGTGACGGCAAAGCCTTCAACTTTTTCAGGGTCTTTTTTCTGTGGGCTAGAAGAACGTCGTTTTTATATCCCAACATCGTCATCTCACGCCGCAAGGACACCTTTTCAAGATCCTCTAATGGCGTTGGCATAAGCGGGTCCTGGAAAAGGCACCTTGTCGGTGCTCACGTTTCATGGCATTGCCAACACATTTTTGATACAGGTCTCGTAACATTTTACGGAGTCACGAGGTTAAAGCTTCGTCGCGACGACGAGGGATTTTTAAATCCTTCCATTCAGGGGCGTACATCCTGATAAATGAATAATCAGTTTCGTTAACCCTTCGCATTGTGTATATCCCGTAGTAAAAATCGAAACCAAGAAATATTTCTTCGTACGGTATCAAAAAGACATATTTTTGATTCAAAGAATTTGGCCGAAATCAGATGCCACAATTGCGAAGAAACGTCGGGTCCGGTTTATTGGATTTTAATCGAGTAAAAGGATTATTCCTTGAATGAAAAATATATTTCTTTGGGATCATTCAAGAAAATATGTTCTTTGGGGTAATTTAAGTTTTTCTTCAGGGTGGTAACGACGCCGATTGGAGTATCTCGAATTTCCCAGCGAGTGGCTTGGGGAGGAAGGACGGACCGCAGTTTCCGAGGATCCGCAAAAGGACCCGCGACGGGATTTTCGCTAAGTCGCGGAATCGCGAGGAGGTGGATTCGAGGTCGCCTCGAATCACCAGGAGAAGGAGAAGGTGCGGCCTGGTGCGATAAATTGGCATCGTTACGCGGAAGTCAGGGAAGGTTACCCGGAATCGAGCGAGAGGGAAGAACGACTTCCTCTTTTCGGTTCCGTTTGCTTCTACCCCGGAAGGGGAGGAGAACATTCGGCCATTCGAGTCCCGAATTCGCCAGAGGCGACGCAATCGTAACGTCGCATTGACGAGAGTCCCCCGTGTCCTCGATCGACGGACGGAGCTTCCCCGAGGGCTCCTCAACGTCGACGGATCGGACCCCATTGTCCGAGGCTTCCTCGAGGAACGGAACTGTTCCAACTTTTACCACGGAACTCGGATCGTTCGGTCCTCCCAGGCCCGGGGGCTAATTTCGGAAATTATGCGACGAAAAGTGACCTAAGTTACCGCAAACTCTCGCTCGAGTGAACTCGACCGAGCACGAGTTATCCTCCCTGTTTTCGGCAAGCCTTGGACGGAGGAACCGAGTTCGTTTGTCTCCGTTTTTGGATTCCGGGCGGATAACTTCGAACTAATGGTATTTTGTAGAGTCAACAATCCGCGACGATCCAGGCGGTCACCCATCCAAGTGTTGACCACGGGCCAACGTCGGTTAACTTCGATGATTTCTTCGGAACTTTTTAATGCTGCTTTTGACTTCCATGGAAGATGAACTTCTAAAAAATATAATAGATTTCCAGAATATGCGGTGATCTCTTGAGAATCTTTCATGCCTTCAGACTTCATTCAAAGGAACGTGAATTCTTACAATTTCCTTCTTTTTCCATAATTTATAAAACATTCGAGGAGGGAGTTTATATCGCTGAATGCGCTTTCAACGCAACGCGAGCGTTGATTCGATCTTGACTAAGGAGAAGAAAAGGAGGAGAGCAGAAGGAAGGACTCGATCGGTCGAGTGGACGTCCTTCCCGAGTTTGAGTAAGTTCGTCAAGATTCGGCGTCGAGATTTCGACGGAGCTTCTCTCCTGTTTTTCGCCAGGATATTCGAAAGGAGTGCGAGGGGGTATCCGAGGGAACGCGAAACCGGGGAACGAGAAAGAGAATTTCAAGCAGTGGCGCATCGACCGTGTCTGCTTGGAATTTTCACTTTAAGCGTGACATGACGCGGAATAACGATGTTACGGGGAAGAAGTAACGGCGGGACGAGCGAGTCGCACCGTTTCAACGTGCCCGTTGTTTTCCTTCCGGGAGGCGTCGAGGCGATCGGGTTTCGAACTCGACGAGGAGTTCGACTCTCGCCGGAAGTGCGAATTCCCGGATTCGGTTTTTCCGCTTTAACGGGTTAGGCAGAATTGGCGCAGATATAGGTCGTTGGATGTCGCCCGGCGTCAACGCCGCATGAATCGGGCGAACCTCGCGAGACTCTCGTCGACGAAAGTAGGATCGGCTTCAGGATTCGGGTCGAATGCTCCGTGCTTCGATTAACGAGGCAAATTGCCGATGACGCGAATCGGGAATACTTGAAGCGTTTCTATCGATTTGTATTCCCGGAGCCGTATCGGGAGCTCGCGAGGTATTTGGCCCTGGGTTAAGTCGACCTCGCGCTTCCGTCCTGTTGCTTCGATAGCGCGAGCGGACGCGAATCGATCGATCGAAGCGCCTACGAGAATGGCCCGTTCAAGGTGTTAACCATTCGAGCGGACTAGACGGTGAAAATCCGTGTTGATATATCCATTGTACAGGCATTAATCGTCACGATGCCCGCCGATCTTATGCGGAACTTCGTATTATTCTATATGATAGTAGTCCCCTGTCATATATTCTATATAACAGGATACGATAGGAACTGAGAGTGCAACGAAAATTGAAATGTTTATTTCTTGATATTCTACAGTTAATTAGTATGAATTTTCGTGCGTCGACGTCGAGATAATTTCCGGAAGACGTTTTAATTGGCACCGGTGAGTTTTCTGGGTTGACTTTTTTACATTTCAAGTGCGATAAAAATGAGAAAAGGGGCTGAGGTTCCAACGCGTTTGACGGCCATTTTCTTTACCGAGGGTCCTTGCGCCGGAAGTCCGCACCGAATCAAATGGCGAAATTTCTCGAAAAAGAGAAAAAAATGAGCTTCGAGTTATCGGCCACCGTTGGGAAGACTCCGTCATGGAGACCTCTCGTTTCGTGGAGGGTGTATAAAAATGTAAAACCTAACAAAATTCCAGTGCAATGAATAAAGTACGGTCTGCTGATACATCTCGACGGCGCACCTGAATCCGACGCTCGCATCTAAGTACACGTCGAAGTGCCCCTCGTAAGCCTGACCACGTTAACGTTGCAATTATGCATGTTTGGAGAAGACGCTTGGCGATATCATGAAGGAAACCTGCAGGCATCAGCAATTCGTTTGCTTTCCACATCCAGCCAAGGTGCGGTCCGTATTTGCGGAGGATTTTCTAACAACGTAATAATGTTCCCTCGAGTGAGATTAACGCATGACTTCCGTTACCTCGAGCTCGAAACGGACGGATTTTGTTGAAACGTTGACCGAGCGTTCGTTATCCGTAGGGTACTCGTTGTGGTGGATTTTTCTTGAGACAGTGGAAATATTTTTCTATTATTTTCAGGTATTTTTCGGGGCGTTTCTGATCGGTTTCTTTTGTGCCAGAGACAGAAAAGGTAGGAAAAGCCACGCGGGAAATGAAGAGCCTGAATTGCAAGGTTCTAGAGGAGTGATGTGGCCACCGTGGACCCCGATACCCTATGATTATCGGGACGTTAACATAACCACAAACACCAGCGTCGGATTGATGGTCTACCTTAGTGATCAGCTGTTTAGGACGAGTGTGGGAGTGGACAAGGAAAAGGACGAGGAGGAGAGGGAAGAAAAATTGCAATTGAAGTACCCCGTCCATTACAATTACGCGTCCATGAGGAAAGAGTACAAGCTGTAGTTATACGTAATACAGGTTAAAAGGACTCTTAGAAGAATGTAAGAAATGTACGAAACGTAGGGACCTTGCGACCATCGATTAAAGATGCAGATGTCATGACAATATTTCGTTATTTTAAGAGAGTCGCGAAAACCAAGCGCGTGATATCGCTGGAGAAATGTATTAACGTAGTTTAACGTAATTAAAACGGTGGGTACTCGTACCTCGACCTAACGCAACGATGTCGAAAACGTTAAACAGGGCACGCACGTGCGTGACCGAATGCGCGTTTATCGCGTTTCCGTTCCTCCGGGCTCGGAAAGATTTAATTTTTCCTCCTCGTTGTGTGAGTGGCCAGCCCGTGATGGATGTCGAGGTGCGACGTTGAGTAGAACCTTTTAACGTCGTTTTTTCATTCCGGCCGTACGAGCAGGTGCGTTTAATGGCGGTGTCATCTATGAAATTATGGAAGCCCGGGACCGCGTCGGAAACACCGGTTATGCTGGAAGGGGTTTAACGGGACGAAACGCTGGAAAATCGGAAACATTTTCGAGATTCAAAATCGCGGAGAAATAGAGGAAAGGTTGAGCGATAACAATTTTTTATCAGAGCTCCGTTCGCTTTCAGTCCGCATTTCTTTCTTCCACCTTCCAACGCGTAGCGTCACGGGCTGCCCTCTTCGTTTCCGTTCGCAATTATTTCCTCGAGTGTTCCGTCACGTATTAATAACGTTCTCGCGGGCTCCCGGAAATGCGTTATTTGGGTAATTTACTAAACGCGCACCCAGTCCACGTGGCGTTAACTAACGACCACTCGGTCCGCAATTTGGCCGGCGTTAAGTCGGACCGCGCGGTAACGCACCGCCGCATTAGTTGACATCTATTTAAAACGGGGTTGAATGCTGACAAAGAGCCGCAGGCTGGCACTAAATTCCCGAGTTGAAAGATTAAATGGGACCCGTAATTCACGGCTACGAGGATAACGGGGATATCATGGCGATTTACGTCGTTCGTATTTCGCCGCGAGTATCGACGCCACATCGACACCTTCGACTCCTTTCAGCACCTTCGACCTCTTTTCGTCGAAGAGACCAAGGAGGACTTCGGGTGTTCAAATGACGGAGTTCGAGCCCCATGAAGAAGCTTCTGGTCGG